GAGTATTTTAGCCACAAAAGATTTAGATAGATTGAAAGTGGGTATATCTAACTTTATAGAGTCCTCAATAATGGCCTTAATAGAGTAGAAAACCTGATGATGAAAAAGCTGCAGCTTGAGACCAGGTAGACTAAGTCATACCGGTACAGTAATAGTTTCTTGATTTGGGTCGAATCAAGAGACCACTTGAGTAACTTCATTGACTTGTCTGCATTATTAAGATATTTCTTAAAGAAAATTTGGGTGTAGTCTTCAATCACGGTTAGTTAAATCACACATGTCTCTCATCCAAGAGTCTTACTTTCCACTTGCCTACTAAGTTAAAATTATCAATACTCTTTTGAATAACTTCCATAGTGGGTGCCCACATTGAAATTTTATAATAAGAGCAAACTTAAATTTCTCCGTTAGAGTTGAAATTTCTAAGTCAGAGAAAAAGATTGTTGTTTTCCCACATTTCCTGCTTCCCTTCTTAACAAAAGGACAATCATATATACCATCACGACAATCTTTATAGTTTGAGAGCGTTACCCATCACATGAACAAAGGAAGCTTTGTCAGGTTCAACCAAAGAAGAAGGGAGCGTCATTAGAGCAGGGAGATCCACCTGCTGGAAGGCTGTCGACGTACACCTGTTGCGAGGTCCCCGACACGCACACAAACTGAATTTGTCGGGCAAAGAGAGGAAAACGTCAACGTCGAAACAAAAGAATGATGCATATGAAACAGACACAAACGTGAGTCGTCGATGTCGAAGAGATGCAGTAATGTCGGGACGAAGCAGAGGATCAGGAGCGAGAGTCGACGTGGCGTCGACAGCGGCAGTGGGCTCTGCTAAAGTTTCACCAGATGGCGATTCCAGGCGGTGAATCTTCAACTTCTCTCCTCTCCGTCATTTCCCAAGATGACAATTTCACGCGCTCACAGCTTTAAGTCGACGACGCTCGCTCGCGTTGTCTCCCGTTGTCGACAAAGCTCGTTCGCACGTCGACTTCTAACCTGACGCAACTCGCGTCATCTCTCCTCACTTGTAGTCAACGACGTGCCTGTCATCCTACCCTACAGACAATTTCCCCGAAGTCTGCTCGCCTCACTGTCACGGTTCGACAAGCCGCTCAAATCTAACGTGGTCATCTTGCCTGTGGAAATGGCATCGACGCTCCGTTCTTATGTCACTGCCTTTGCCGGCAACTTTGATATTCCTACTCGTGCCCCTCTCTCAGGTTCAGAGCTTGATTTTGATATCGGTAAGTCCTGCAATGTTCCACAATCTTTTCACGAGGCTCTTGAAGGTGATGGTGATTACATTTTCATTAAAAAGCTTAGTAAAAAATAATGGGAAGTGTGTTCTTTTTCTCACTGAGATTGAAGCCAGTAATCCTGTGTCTTCTTGGTGTTTTCCTTTAGTAGGAAAATTCATTTATGGTCGCCCAAAACTTGAGATCATTCGAAAAGATTTTGATGCTATCAATCTATTGGGCAGTTGGAATATTTGTTAACTTGACCGACGACATATACGTATTCAGTTATCTCACGATGCAAATTACACTTGTATTATTTATCATAAAGTTATCAAGATCGACAACTGTTTTATGAAAATCCTGAAGTGGACTATCGATTTTGATCCAAAAGCGGAGTCTTCTATCGTTCTTGTTTAAATAAAGTTTCTAATGTTAAAATTACATTTGTCAACTTAGAAATTCTCTAATTCTTTGCAACTGCTTACGGTAAGTTTCTCAAGGTTGATAATCTTACGCTTACTTTCACAAGACCATCTGTGGCTTGTGTGTTAGTTGAGAGAGATATTACTCAATCAGCTCTGGATGAGGTATGGATTTGAATCAATCACAACGGATACTGACAAAAGATTAAAATAGAATCACATCATACTTATTGCTATTATTGTAGTATGTTTGGTCACAGTTCTACAATATGTTATCGTTTGCATCCTCATTTAAATTCGGATATCGCTAAAGATCAGCCACCTACCATCCCTGCTGAGAAGGTGAAACCCGATCCTCTTTCCAACACCGCAGTTCCTGATGAATAACACCCTATCCAAGCCGTTCTACCTCTGGATGTTCTTGCTTTTGAACACTATTCAAGCTCCTGGTTTGGAGCATGGTACTTTGGAGTCCCATGAAGCATCTCCCCATACATACTACAAATACAAATCCAGACGTGTTTATACCACTCACCGTTATTCAATAAGGCTAACTTACATGTCAAGACACACGAGAGTGCTCATTTGATCCAATAAAAGATTAGCTGGTACAACAAGTAGTTGCTTCTAATGTTCAACAACCTAAACATGTCTGTCACACTTTAGACCAATTCACTGATCATATGAGTCAGTCTTCGAATGAGGAATGACAGGTATATTCCAAGAGGAAGAAGTATGGAGAAAGACTCGAGCTCTGGAACTTATTGGATGATACATTGGTTACTACTAAAAATGGCACTCATCTTGACTTATTGGATGATACATTGGTTACTACTAAAAATGACACTCATCTTGCCAATTTGTTAGCTGGCTCCTTTCTTAGAACTAGAGGCAACGGCAGAGGCAGGGCAAAATTAGGTCACTCTCTAGCTACCTGATACTACATGTTTTGGCATTTTTAGTTTTTTTTGGGATCTCATGTATTTTTTTTTATTTTTTTTTATTTTTTGGTCATGTATTTTTTTTTTTTTTGAAATCATTTGCATATGGTGGTTATCGTGTAGGTAGGGTGTCATGTTTGGGCCCTCTCACCCAATCTATCTGTATCCTTATTTATTTTTAATATATTAGCCATTGGACTTTCTCAAATATATATAAATATATTATCACTTCAAAAATTAAGTTGGCGACGTTAGCTTCACTTGACTTCGACAAATAGATGCTTCAGTGCAAGCGTCGCAAAATTTGTAGGACAATTGAATTGACTTCAATGAACAGGTTTGGCTTCTACTCAAGTTGGGGCAAAGAACCTTACGGCTTCTGCTTTAGCGGGTACAAGATCAGCTTCAACGAACAAAAAGGAACTACAAGCTAAGCATGGACAAATGCAAGATGGAATTTCGATGCTCAACTACGACAAATGCAAAGGGAATTATCGATGCTTGGCTTCGACAAACATGGAATGCATCTTCAATGCACGATTTTGATAAATGTTGGAAGGAGCTTCGATATGATGAGTTATGAGGTGGCTTCAACTATGAAATATAACTAGGGTATACATATATTTTTAATTTTTTATTTCCTAAGTCTTGTTGTTTACAAAATCGTGATGAACTAATCTCTGATGTGGTGTTGATAAGTACCCCAAGCGTGTTTAGGTCCAAAAAAAACTTCAAATACATGTTTTGTAGTATGGGACAAATGCTGGTGTCTGATAGGTGTCTAACACGGGTACAGTACATTTTTAGAAGTGTCGGTGCTATATAGTTAAGATAAAAAAATCCAAGTTATTACAGAGATCAAAAGTTCAACAACCATGTCCTATTTGAAAAGTGAACCCATGATGACATCAAAGATGGAACACACAAGGTTAGGTAAATATCACTCGAAAAGCTCCTATAAATAATGAGTCTCATAAAGATCACACCAAGGATTCCATGAACAAGTCTACCTCAAGCAAGGGAATGGATAATAAGATCCTATCATATTTGGATTCTCACACGTTAGAGATTCAGATATTTTATGGTTTTATACAGATTATAAATAGCACACAAAATATTTTTTTACATTCCTATAAATTTCATAGTTTAGTACTGTGATATGCCCGATACTTATATTTATAACAGATTTGTTATCAAACAAATAGTTATGAGACAAAACATTGATTGAATGAGTGATAGAATGAAATTTATACACGGCGAACATGAAGCGGCTAGCAATAGGTACTTGTGTTTTTTTTCGTATGTGATAATAATTTAAAACAAGTAAACCTTATAGACTAGTGGCTGTTTTGAAATATTGTAAGATATGTTCATAGAAAAAATTATTTTTCATTGCTTTATAAGTTATTAATGTTAGTATAAAGCATTTAAATTTGAATCCAACCATTTATTCCAGCCATAATATTTTGAACATCCAGGCTTGGTTAGACACATTCACCATAAAATCTTTTGAAAAATTCAACAGACCTTTCATATACAAATTTTCACCACCATAAACAACAACCAATCTTCTTGGCATGCTAATATATATGCATTCTCATCATCAATAAAACCCCAACAAGGTAGTGATAACTAATTCTTTTTTTATTACAATATTACAAATAAAAACAACTAACATCAATCATTATGACCAAAAAAAAAAATCAATTTGTCAAAAGTATAACCGTCATTAGCATCTTTTATTGCCCTCTACCATGCTTCAGTATATAGACAAATCCACTCAATTTCCCAAAAGCTAAAACTTTAAATATCAACTAGAGTATTGTTCATCAAAAACATCGTTAGTATATCCCAACAACTTTATGTTCAGCCTTCCATACATTCCTGTTAATAGTCCCAAAATTTTGAATCTTTTCCTCACTTTTTTCTTGAGATATATACTAAAACACTATTTCATTTATTAAAAATGTCATCACTATATTCTTTGCATGGGCAGGCCACACAACATTTGATGATGATTTTCAAGTTTGTAACCTTTATATAGCCACACAACATTTGATGATGATTTTCAAGTTTGTACCCTTTATGTAGGAGCTGGATAAGGCCGGGGATAAGGCTGTATAGGTAGTAGGAGCTGGAGCAAGCTAATTGACATAGAAATGGTAGAGCAGCTTTGCAACTAGAACTTATAAATAGAAGTAGACAAAAAATACACCAAATCTATTGACCTTCTTAGTTTGAAATGAATAATGTGCACATTGGCAGTCAACTCAAATATGCTAGAAAAACTTTCCCACTATTTTTTTATTGTTCGTCTACATAACTCAGTGGCATTTTGCAATATTCTCATAAATATCATATGGAAAATTAATTAATGTCATTTGTTAAGAATATACCCTCTGGCTGAAGTATCGAGTTTGTTCCTTCTGCTCTGTAGCTGTCCTAAAAAGGCCACCCTTGAAAACCTGCAGCAATGCTTTGAACTGAATGAATGATATATAAAAATGAAAAGTGCAAGTGTTTTCGTTTGAAAAGAGAATATAAAGCTAAGAAGTCAATTTTTCACATATATTAAAACACATGCTCGAGGTGAAAATAAATAGAGGCATTCAAATAATATTCATTAGTGACCAATGGCTCATAAGATTTTCAAGAAAGAGTAATGCAGGACAGTTAAGTTTAAAACCAAATGAACCAAGAATTTTAAAAAAAAAAAAATTTTGTAAAATCAATCGTAAATATGTTTAGTAAAAATTTCGTCAAAGACAGTCATATGCAAAATTATTGCAGTTTGCTTCATCCTTAAGAAATCATTTATCAATAAAAAAAATTAGCAGGTCACAAAATTATATTTTCCATCTGATGATGGAAAGACATTAAAGAAAGAGTGAAAGAAACAGGCCTTGCAAAATTACTATGGTATACTAATTTAATGATCAGGAATCAAGTGACTATTAATCTAAGTCGATATAGATTTAAGATGTGGGCTTATCAGACATAAAATATATAAATTCAAGAATTTTCCTTTAAGAAAAACATAATGTTGTAATTAGACAATGAAATAAGCACATTCAAAGTATCATCAGGTTAAAATGCAAAAAGAAAGCATACAATTCATGATAACAAAACGACAAAATAGTAACCATCCAACTAATAGTTAATGATTACGAGGGTAAGCTCTCAATTATGGTGCTTAGCTTGTAACCTCAAAATTAAAGAATGATGATAGATTTATTCTCTTATTTTGATCTCTTCTGGAAAATAGGATTGGAAATCTCCTATTGGCTTGAACAGCAATAGATGATATGCTGAGATTTGATTCAAAATGCTACCATACCAGACTGATGTCAATCTCTTGTAGATGTGTAGTCAATGCACCGCACTCGTCGTAGTGCAACAACTACAGAGTCAATGCACCGCACTCGTCGTAGTGCAACAACTATAGGTCTACATGTCAATTAGTCGGGTTCGGCTAAGCCCAATAATTTTAGGTCCATTACCTTTTATAGGTTGTTGGCCTAGGGGTTTTCACCCCCTAGACAACTAATTCGCTGGTTGAGTTCGGTTGTTCGGAACAGAATAGTCCTTAACCCCTATGGTGTGGGAACTTTGAGATTTCTATCCTGAACCGTTTGTTGCACCTCCTTATGGAGGTAGCATATCCACTTAGATCTATTAAGTTTACAGCAATTTTGTCGTGGTCAGCTTAATTAGCTATAAATTGATCCCCCTACTTATAATCCCTTTATAGCTTACCTGGTGAGCCACGTCGGAAAGATAGTCCCACCGTTAAGTTTAAAATTGCATCTTTTAGTGCGTTGATAATGTCCCACATTGTATGCATGTGAGGGACAAAAACAGTTTGGTCGCGGCACTACATCTTGACTCTGTGATGCCAGTCCCTTTTTTATCTTGAGTTAGCATTTCTGCACTCCCGCCTACTTGCATGGTATTGCTCGTTGCATTGTTGCATTCCATTTTTTATCAAGTTTGTATGAATTGTTGCACACTTGTGTCGCATTTGCTTTCCATGTATTCAGCATGTTCGTGCTTACAGTATTTTCTTGGTATTCACCTCTAACGTCTTTGTTTCAAGGCTAGCCTCTAAATACTTGATTTCACATATTGTGCATTTGCAAGCTTGTGTGCATGACTTGCCTTTTTTTTGGTAAATTCATTTATTTGCCCATATATGTCTAGGTTGTGAGTTAGCACCTTTGACGGTGTGACCTAAGTAAATCCTAGTTGTGCCTGTGGTGGTAATACGGAAAGGAGCATCACCTGATGTATTGACCAAACAAGTGATGTGAAATATTGTATTATTATTCCGAGAGATAACTTTGTTTTGCTTCGCTATGTGTCGAGATTAATGTACTTTACATCAATGTTTCATGCCTTATTAGTGTGCTCTACGTTTCACAACAAAAGAGGCAAAATCATTAGGAAACTTACATGCTACAACTAGGACCATAACTTAAATATCATTTGGCGGCAAACTATACACTCAAAGAACTCTGGTTGTAATCATCTTTTTTTCGTTCCATTTGGCAACAATTCATAGCAGAGGAAATGGGCATTCATCCCAGGCTTACAAAGTTTTTTTGGACAGCAATTTATGGTTGCGGACAAGGATACTTCAATCAAGTTAGTTCAACTACCACCTCTGATTAACCAGAGCCCATGACAACTCTGGATGACAGAATTTGGATATTTTGATCAGGTTTGTCACCATTTACCCCACCATTCGCTCTTGGTGATACATTTAACCAAAACACTCTAATATGCTAATTCTGAATATTTAATAGATTAACACTAACATTAATTGAAAGTGTTCTCTTGTCATCGGGAGTGGAAATTAACTAGAGGCTTGTGCCTGTAGAAAAATTTGAACCATATCAAAAAATGTTGAAATTCTGAGGGAGAAATCTCTAGCTAGTCTCATCTAAAAATTTAAAATGCTTTCCATAGGAAAGTGTCAATCTGCATGCTTGATTGGCAAGGAATTGATGTCCTTTCCTCATAATATAATTCACTTAATTCCTTCCATCTTAATATATTTCACTAAATGTGTTTCATTTTATTAGATATTTTCCTAGTTTTATATTTTTCCTAATTAAAGAGATTCCTAATTTGTTTCCTTCCATTATTATTATTATATGTAGCAAGGTGTAATGCATGGAGATGAGCAAGAAATAAAATTTGGTCAGGTTTTACATGGTATCAGAGCTCACAACCAAATTTCTTGCTCGAGCAGCATCACTTCTCTCCCACTAATTCTAGAAAGGTCGAGATCGACATCCTTGTATTCTTCCAAATCTACAAGCATGGTTATTTAGTGTGATTCATCAGCACTGACAAGCTCCTCGTTGAACTCGATCTAGCCATCGACGCCTCCGTTTACCTCTATCTTCTCCAGTAGCCAGTCGTCTCTTCCATTCGACCAAACTGTGAAACTCTCTGTTCAAAGAGATCATTCGATCACAGACCACAGAACTATACCTCGATCGACTCTTCCGCTTCAGCTCGCTACGCCAATGAACGATCTGGTCCCTGCAACTGATTTGGTTTGCCCTAGTCACCCTCTTATGAATTGTCGGTTTACAAATACTCTCCCCTTGGATCAACCTTATGGAAACTAAGAGGTATGCACCTCCCCCCTAGTTCTTATTCACTCGTCCAATCAAGCGAACGAACTAAGGTCCTCGTCACATTTTGTTCGAGCAGCAAGTCTTCCATATTCGTGCTTCACAAACTTATCATGGTCAAACACAGCATGCCTTCACAACCTTCTTCCTTGGAAGTTCCTTCGAGATCCAAGCCTACATCTTCAGCCTCTATCCTTAATAACTCCTCTCACCTAGTCACAAATTATAATCTGCATGGTCATAATTTTCTTCAATTGTCATAGTTTTTTTGTATGTCCCTTCGAGATCCAAGCCTACATCTTCAGCCTCTATCCCTAATAACTCCTCTCAGCTAGTCACAAATTATAAACTGCATGGTCATAATTTTCTTCAATGGTCATAGTTTTTTTGTATGTCTATATGTGGAAGAAGAGATGGACATCTCACAGGTGAAATTACGACTCCACAAATGTCATATTTCAAATATCGGGCCTGAAAGACTGAAAACCACATAGCTATGTCATGCATAAAAAATTTTCATGACAATGAAAGTTAAACAAAACTTTCTACTTTATATGAGCTAAAAGGGTAAGAAAGGCTGAACGTAAAACCTACTGTAGCACTGAAAAACTCCTCCGAGTTATTTGAGAGAGAGATCAGACTACAAGATTTACAATAAGGAGAATTGAGTGTTACAGAATATTCCAACACCCTGACACCCTCTTAGTTGCAATTGGAAATGTATCAAATCTGCTTTTGAAAATGTTCTGATTACCACATTATTTAGGAGAATTACTGGAAAAAAAAGAACCATCAAATTTCTCATTTGCCTTAATAAAGATCTACTCCTTGGCCTCAATAAAGATCTGGATAAAATCAATGTGATCGAGTTCCTCCGGATTTCTATGGAGGAGTGTAGGTGGAACCAACGCCCTCCGGACAACCCAGACATTGCTTGTTTCCTAGAGTTCAAACAGGTTTTGTTTCATTTTGTTCCTCATTCTTGTAACAAGGCTGCCTGTTTTTTGTGCTCAAAAAGCCTTGGTTGATAGTTTCTTTTTTTTGTCTAGGAATATGTCGAACGAGAAGAAATGAATATATGGAGGTCTACATTGAATTATGGAGAGAAAAACTTGAATTATGGAGGTCTACATTGGAGTCTAAAGGCCTTCGTTTAAGTAGAACTAAAACTGAATATATGGAATGTAATTTTAGTAGTAATAGCTCTAGTGACAGAAGTGTGACTTTGGGTGATCAAATTATTAAAAGGTGTGAACGATTTAGATATCTTGGGTCCCAATGGAGAAAAAGGATTCATGTAGCCGACCCCACGTAGTGGGATTAAGGCTTTGTTGTTGTTGTTGTTGTTGTTGTTGAATATGTCGAACGAGTTTTTTACTATGTCAAAACAGGATAGAGTCCATACTTTTAATGCCCAAGAAGAATAGTTTTGTACATTTTTTGTAACCATTTGACTTTATAGAGGAATTCAGTTAATGTGTCATACTTTAAAATTATGGGAGAGGGTAAATGAACATAAGTTAAAACGTATTACAAAGATTTCTCATAATCAATTTGGATTTATGTAGGGCAAGTCTACTTTGGATGTTATACATTAACTGAGAGGTTTGATGGAGAAGTACAGAAAGAATAAGGAGAATCTACACCTGATTTTATTGATTTAGAAAAAACTTATGATAGTATTCCAAGAGAAGTCCTTTAGAGAGTTTTAGAGAAGAAAAGTGTTAATATGACTTATAATCAAGTCATTAAAGATATGTATATTGCAGAGTCGTTACTTGTGTGAACAGAATGAGGATTGACCAAGTATTTTCCTACTT